CCCCGGAGATTCCCCCCGCCGGGTGTGCCGGGCAGCCACGTGTCGGCCAGCACACACAGCGTCTCCGCCGCCGCGGCCGCAGACCCCAGTGCCCGGGCGCCTGGCTCAGCCCATGCCGCTCTGGCCCGGCAGCTGCCAGCACTCCTGCCCCAGCTATTCGCTTCACCTTGGATCCCCTCTCGCGGCTCTGACATAAACACGCAGTAATCCTGGCTCAGTGTCGCCCCACCTGGCGTCTGCTCATGCTCTCTGTCTTTCCTAGGGGCTCATGTCATCTCGTCTCGCAGTGGGAGGAGATGGCATAGTGGGCACGTCACTGGACTCCCACATAGTCGACCACGGTTTGAGTCCCGGACCCAGTGGCTTAAAACTTATGTCAGGGGTGCGTGCCCCAAATCCCAAGAGGAGAACGAAGAAGGAGGGGCTGTGGCATGGCCATCCCTCTGGGGGTGGCCTGTCACTTCCCCTGTCACTGTCTTTGTCTCTCTCTTTTCAGGGAGTAGACACAGCTAAGGCAAAAACCCCTACCAAAAAAGGGAACGCTTGCTCACACAGACCGCCGGCCTGCCGCTGCCTCCTGGTGCGTTACTTCTCTCCCTCTCATCCACATTTCTGAGCGTCTACCACGCTCCGGGATTACCAGCAGGACGTCAACACCAAGCCCAGCCTGGGATGCGGCTACTTTTATGGGCGAGGCAGAGCCCCCTGCCGCTCTGCCCTCTCTGCCCTCTCTACCACTGGTTCCCATTTTTGTTTTGTTAGCGTGCACCTGTGTTTGCCTTAGAAAGAGACAGAACGCGCAGGACAAGTGCCCCCATGGGTGGTCCTGCCACAGTCCCACCCCTCCCTCCTTCCCTCCTCTCGGGGCTTTGGGCATGCACGCACACAAACCCCACGTGAATCTCAAGACACCAGGTCTGGGACTTGAACCATATGGTCGGCCACATGGGATCCGGCTGCCTTAACCACTGGGCCACAGAGACGGCCGCCCACCATTTAATTCCGTAATCTCCTATGGCGCAGGTCAAGCTGTTTAATATAATAGGCGAAACCGTTTAAACCTAAACCTTCATCAATCAAGAGTCAAGAGGTTTGGCGATCACTTGGGACCCACGCTGTGCTTTCAGATGAGGGGCGAGAAAACGCCAGGCAGACCTTGAACTCTCTGATATCCAAGACGGCGTACGCATGAGTGGGGACCAGGCCCCACTTCTCCCCTTCAGCTTCAGTCATCATTCCAGTCGATGCCGTGATAAGCACATCCCCTTTGTGAAATCTGAAAGGATCCCGGGAGGAAAATAGTGAAAACACATCTGTAACAGCAGATCGCATCAGTATGCCTTTCAGTGTAATCCATGAACATTTCCACAAACGGGAAGTCTTTCTAACGGGCCGTTCCTGACATTCCTGAAGAATTCTCAACACAAAGGACATTTCTTTTTAGTCTTGCAAACTTGCCAGAGGGCAGGTATGCTCCCTCGCAGGAGACAGAGACAGAGAGAGAAGGTGAGACATGGTCACGCCATGCTCTGTTTTCTTCCGTCTCCTCCTCCTCCGTGATTCTGGGCATGCACGCACACACCTGGCAGGGCCCTCAAGCCGCTGGCTGGCCATGTGGGATCCAGCCACCTTATCCGTCGTGCCACGCATGGACCCAGAAAGTACGCTGCTAGTTATTCATGGTATATGAATCACAAATACCACGTCCATGACCGCACAGTGGCCGACTATGTGGGAGCCCAGCTGAACATAAGCATTATGCCGTCTGCTGGTCCCAGGATCTGGCTCCCCTAACCACTAGGCTACAGGGCTGGCCTGTAGGATGCTTTCAAATGGCCTCTTTGATTACTCAAAAAGAAAACATGCTTACCTTTGATAAAGCATTCTGAAAGAGTTATCCTTACTGAAAGTCTGGCTGTCTGAATGCATAGCAATCCTTTCTGGTATCCACCCAGTCAGTGCATGAAGATCAATATTCTGCAACGTAAACATTCAGACTGTCACTGTTATTTTCAAGTTCCTGAATAAACCCCTGGGGAAGCTATTCAATCTCACTGATATGTTCTAACATTTCAACAGGAATAAATCAGAAGGTAGTTGAAGCTGTTTTCAATCAGTAATACATTTCTGGTTAAACTCAAATTCCTACCTAGAATTCAACATGAGCTTTTTTTCCCTTTACAACTTCTGCTGCTCTTATGGAAAACAAGAGATTGCTTTGCTTGTCAACATGACAGAAACTAGAAACATGTAGCACAGAATAAAATGCTCTGACGACGAATTCTTACAAAGTAAGAGTCACCTGTAACATCTGGCCCACACCCCGCCCCTTGTCTACGGTGGAGTGAGGGAATTAGCAGGAGCTCGATTAGAAAGCGCCAGTGCGTCCAGGAAGCCGCACCACCGAGCGCTCTGAACTGTGGCCTCGCCTTGGAGACACAAACTCGCCGGCTTCCGCATCTACAGTGGGGCCGACCCGGCGCCCTTCTGGCTCACCTCCAGCAGTTTACCTCGTGTAACCAGGGCAACCTCAACCTGACTGGTCAGCCTGCACTGAGGTTGGGGCAGACAACCTGAGCCTTAACTAAGAGTCGGCCCCAGGAGCGTGGCCGCAGGCTGCCCTGGAGAGGCGCGCTGTGTAGCAGCCAGGTCCGAGTACCACACACGCCGGGCCCCGGGCACAGAACCCACACGGGGCGCTTTCCCGACACAAGGAAACATGCAGCCCAGAACAGGAGGGCCGTCAGTCCGTGGGGCTGCCTCCCTGCGTCCTTCCCGAGGAACAACAGGCCTGTGGCCCTCCCTCTGCAGCAGCCGTGTTAGGAAGCCGTGCCTGCCCGGGCCGCCCTTTATCTCACTCACGGAGTTGGACCCCGGGAAGTCGTAGCCTCCCATGACCTTCATGTACGCCTTCTCTATGAGCGAGACCCACAGCTCGCTTCGGTTGTTGGAGTAGGAGCAGAGCAGCTCTCCCTTGTGGTCGACGGGGAGCTGGTCGTCAATGATCACCTGGTGGAGAGAGCGTCACCTGAGCGGCACAAGAACCTAAAAGCCTCTTGGGAAACGAGACAGGACTAAGCGAAACTCTTCATACGGATAAGGTAAGACACACAGTATGCCTATTTTTAAGGTAATGGTAGCTTCCCATAACATGAGAGTAACGACAGCGTTCTTTAATCTCATTCATTATAAAATGCTAGTCTTTTAATTGGATGTCTTCAACCTTACAAGCTAATCCCACTTGAGTTGATTAACGTTATGTAATTACCATCAAAATTGCTTAGAGATTATAGAAATATACATTATACTTAATTACAAAAGGGCCTCGCTACTAAGGTAAACTGAATTATTACCAGACATTTTAACCTAAATCTATAAAAGGACTCATGCTATGTGTACTTGGATCCACAGAATATTATGACTAAAAAATACATTTAAGTAATAATAACCACTATAAAGACAGTTTCTAATTCCTGTTGAAAAGTGACAGGGAAGACATGGATTACAAGAACTTTGATCTAACACTAACAGGGAGACCATGCGACTACATCTTGGAAGTCTGTTCAAAACAACAGGTTATTTAGGAATTAGTGTAAGGGCAGGCTCCATAGCACAGTGGTTAGGTGCTGTTCAGGGAAAGCTGGACCCTTCACTGCAAACTGAGGTCTGCATCCCAGCCTGGCCACTTAAAAACACACCAGGTAGGTGTGTGTGTGTCCTTTCAATCAAATTACGAACCTCAGATTAAACTTTACACGTTAGCAAATCTTAATGTGATTTTACTTATGGAAATGATATAAGTTTTTTTCAAAACCATTCAACAATTTTATATTTGTCCTTCTTTTCTTTTAATTACTAACAGATGGTGCTACCACAGTTAAACTGACTTAAAACTGCTCATGTAGGTCACATTTCTTAACTGATTCCAAGACTCAGATACGGAGGGAGAGTGAGGACAGGAGAGGAGGCGTTACCTTCCTCGGCACACCGTTGAGATGCAGTTTTACCATGTATTTCCCACATGGATTATACTCTGGCTCACCATCCTTGTTCTGAGGATAAATGATGCTTTTGTAAGGAAAATAAACATTGAAATGCCAACATTAATATGCGGTATCAACTATTATACAAGATATATTTCATTCAGACACGACAGTAAATGAGAATATTTTCCTATAATAGGCCTAGAAAAATGAAGTGCACCCTAATCAAAGTGCTTATGCACTATAAATAATCTTATGAGGTCACAAGGATGTAACTTCATAATATTCTAAAATATGCTCAGTTTTTAGTTATATTACTTAACTTATAAGTTGTCTATTAAGTGGGATCCCACATGGCCAACTGTTCCAGACTGGGAGGCTTGAAAAACACTGTGTGTGTGTGTGTGTGTGTGTGTGTGTGTGTGTGTGCACGTGCATGCGTGTGCACACGCACACATGCCCAAAATCCTGAGAGGAGAAAGGTTGTGGTGTGGTCACCCCTCTGGAGGGTGATCTCCCTCTGTCTCTCCCTTCCCAGGGAGTACGTGGGCCCTATAGCAAAAACTACAACAGCGTTTAAAGGAACGTTTTGCCACTGGCCGTAACACACAGAGCACAATTTCGACCAACCACAACTGAGGCAGCTCTGACAGAGTATCACAGTTCGACACCTGTAAAAAGAGCGGTCAGAATCAGGCGCCTTCTAAATCAATTCGGACCACGGATTACATACTGCAAACTCTGCAGGATATGGCGAGCAGCTGGAGCTCAGGACTGTCTAACCCACCTTTGGATTCTCAGGACTTAACACAAAAAGACACTCAGGAAAAGCTGAACGGCACAATTACAATTCTAATTTTTTATTTTATTTTTAAAAAAGCTGCTAGTGGGCAAATGTGTCAGACAGCGAGCGAGAGAGCGAGAGTGTACTCTCCCCCAGCCCCGGGGGGTGGCCAACCATAATCCCACCTCCTCCACCCCTCCTCTCAGAATCAGGGTGCACACACACGCACCGGGCCCGTCGCTCAAGGTGTCCGATCTGCACTTTCAGGCACTTTGGGTCCGCCCACCTTAACCATTAAGCCGCGGGCTTATCTGTCCGCTCTCAGTCACCCGCGTACCTCCACGGAGAGGGGAGAGGCCGCCGTAACCGAGGCTAGCCCTCTGCGCTCACATCTGCCTCCTAGCGGAGAGGCCACCACGGGGGCGGGAGGGGCAGGCACAGCTTTACCTGGTGATGAGCTTCTTGTTGAAGCGTCTCTCATACGCTGCGCTGATGGCCAGCGACGCCACGAAGGAGCAATCGGAGACTATGGTCTGTCAACAGAAAGTCCTCATGTACACGTCTATTCCAGCTGTCACCATCTCCACAGTACTCACATGCGCGTGCTCACATACACGTCTATTCCAGCTGTCACCATCTCCGCAGTACTCACACACGCGTGCTCACGTACACGTCTATTCCAGCTGTCACCACACTACTCACATGTGCGTGCTCACATACATGTCTATTCCAGCTGTCACCACACTACTCACACGCACGTGCTCACGCACACGTCTATTCCAGCTGTCACCATCTCTGCAGTATTCACACGCGTGTGCTCATGTACACGTCTATTCCAGCTGTCACCACAGTACTCACACGCACGTGCTCACGTACACGTCTATTCCAGCTGTCGCCACAGTACTCACACGCATGTGCTCACGTACACGTCTATTCCAGCTATCACCGTCTCCACAGTACTCACACGCGCATGCTCACGTACACGTCTATTCCAGCTGTCGCCACAGTACTCACACACGCGTGCTCATGTACACGTCTGTTCCAGCACTTTCAACGTCATTGCAGTATTTACCCCACAACTTGCACCTCAACTGAGTATCTTCACTGTTGTTTGACTATGAGAAGAGAAATGCCCTATATGTTTTATTTTACATTTTATTCTAGTGAATCCCAGAAACATGCAAGTATTCAATTTAGATGAGATATTTAAATACTTGAATATTTTTTATTTTTATTCTCGTATCAAACCTGAAACTAAGATTCTCAGGTTTCTAATGTAAAACACATATTGATAAATAGGAAGTAAATAAAACCCTGTAATTCCTGAAAATAGGTATCTATATTCATATTACCTCAATAGGTTTAAATCTAAATGTATATAATGAGTAATTTCTCCAACTACATTCATGCATCTGAACATATTAAGAAAACAAAGAAAAATCCAAATCTCTATTTAAATGACAATGTTAGATTTCCTATAAAATTATACGAAAGGTTTACCTGTTTTATGCTAAAACTGGACACAGTATATATCATCGTAGGGTTGTTGGTGAGGTCTTCTGGCCGTACCCATTTGGAAAAGGTAGTTTTTTGCTTGGGTGATAACGGTAGCTTACCTAACCTGTCACTGTGATAAAAATTAAAAAGAAAATTAATCTTAAAAAATAACTCAATGCCGGGAACCGGCAGTTAGTGTAATGGCTATGTCGCTGGACTCCCACGTAGTCAACCGCGGTTCGTGTTCTGGACCCGGTGGCTTGAAACTCACGCCGGGCGCGTGTGCGTGCGTGCCCAAGATCCCGAGAGGAGAATGGAGGAGAAGGGATTGTGGCGTGACCATCCCCCCTGGGGGGTGATTTCTCACTTTCTGTCTCTATGTCTCTCTCTGTCTGTCTGGCAAGCGCACGCGCCCTACAGTGAAAATCTCTCAAAAAAAAAAAAAAAAAAAAACAACTCAATGCCGAAATTAATTTTCCTAAAATACTTCTCTGGTCAAGTCTGACTCTACACTAACCCTGAATGCCTTCAACCTGGCTCTCTTCCCCGATTAAAAAACAAAACAAAACACATGAATGATGGGAAACGGAAGCATAGCCTAAATTCACTCATATCTACTCTAAGAGAACATCGTGAGCTGCGGGTCCTGCAGGGACCTTCACTGAGCTCTGCTCTGCATGGCTAACGAGGAGCTGCTACCTCAGCGAGCCTGCCCCGTGTCGGCATTGCACTTCAGTGCCCGGCGTGCCCTGTTCATCTGGGCCTCCCCCGTACAGGAGACGGCTTCAGGAAGAGGCTGGAAGTGAGGGAGTAACTCACCGAGGTCACTAGGAGGGAGTGGAGCTGGCTCTGCATCCAGGTCTCTGGCAGCACATCCACCCTCACCCTCTGCCCTTCTGCCTCCGTATCCCTCCTCCAAATGTCCTTCCCTAGGCCCCACTCCTCCACACACACCACATCTGGCAATGACCCCCATCTCTTGTGTTTGTACCACCTTAGGTCAATCCGTTTCAGCCACAGAGTGCGGACACTCGGTATATACTAAATGGGGACATACAGTGTCTCTCCTTCATAGCTGGCTTGCTTCACTCAGCAGTAAATCTTCCATATTCTTCCACTTTCTGTCAAAAGCCAAGGTTTTGTTGTTGTTGTTTTTTTTAATGGCTAAATAGTATTCCATAGAATATATGTGCCTACATTTTTTAAAAGACTTATTTGGGTAGGCATAATATTTGTATGGATGTACCAATATTTAATAATTTTTGTATCAATGGATATTCAGTTTCCTAATTCTTTTGCTGTAGCAGATGCTTTGATGAATGGCTCTTACAACACGCATTTCTGACTGAACGTTCATCTCCTTAGGAGACTAGAGGCCGGGAGTCCTGAATCAAACAATATTTTTAAGGCTCTCCACATAGGCTGCCACCATTCTGAAATGCTGTGTTAACTAACGCTTTCCTCGTGACCCTTCCTTGAACTGGATCTTAGTAGCCAATGACGCTGTCCTTCTTTTCTAGTTTCCGTTCAATGCCTTTGCAGGTGGGTGTTTCAGTGGGGATTCGAGCACAGGTTGGACAGATGCTGAGCACACACTTGGCGCCAGGTGCTATGCGAGCCTGTGAGGAAAAGGAGAAGCACGCACGCCCGACCAAGCACGCGGTAGCCATCGGTGTCCTTGCTCCATCCTCCACCTCCTGCCCACAGCCACACCCACCTTCCGAACAACTGCCAGAAGGCATGTGTGCTCACCACAGGCAGAGACAGAGACAGAGAGAGAGAGAGAGAAAGCACCTCCACCCCCATGCGGCATGGTGAGGCCGTATCCTGCCTATTCTCCATCCCCCTGGAATTTGAGGCAGGCAAGTACATCGGCCTGCTGTGTTTTCCAAACTGCCAGGACTGGGATTCAAACCATCGCTGACCACGTGTGATCTGGCTCCTTCACCACTAGGCAGTGGGCCCTGTTCCAACCAATGTGTAGTTTTTCATTTAAATTTCGTATTTGTGATAGCACACGCATACACACAGGAGGGAGAGGAGCCTCACAACAGCATGGTGACACTCAACCCTCCCCTTCCGGTCGCCAGGATCACGGCCTGACAGGTGGGCCGGGGAGCTGCACCTGTGGCTTCTAGCACTACGCCCAGTAGGCTGCAGACCGCACCGTCCAGGTGGGGCCCAACCAGGTACTTCTATTACAGATTTTCATTTCTAGGCTGTGAACTGAACCGAACTTCAGTGTACTATTAAATGATCTGTAACTAAAAATTGCAACAGTGCCTACTTACCAGAAAGGCATTGGATAGGCAAAACGTTCCCGCAGGTCAACGCTCATGAAAGGAACATATTCTATACCATTAATTTTTGATGTTGTCCTACAAAACACAAGAAAAAAGCCCTAGAGTAACTGTTCAAGTCCATCGTAGCTACCCAGTCTTATTTAAAAGTTAAATGACACGGCATGGTACTGTATTAAAATTAAACTGGCAATATTTTATTAGAACAAAAGTTTCATAAAGTAATTATATACCAGAAAATAAATAATTCCATTTTATTCACTAAAAGTTTTTTTTTTTTTAAGAGATTTTTTTGCTAAAGGGTGTGTGCATTCATCAGAAGGAGACAGAGTTAGAACAAAAGTTTCATAAAGTAATTATATACCAGAAAATAAATAATTCCATTTTATTCACTAAAAGTTGTTTTTTTTTTTAAGAGAGAATTTTTGCTAAAGGGTGTGTGCGTTCATCAGAAAGAGACAGAGAGCGAGAAATCACCCCCGGGGGATGGCCACGCTGCACCCCCTTCTCCTCCATTCTCCTTTTGGGATTTTGGGCACACGCACACACACCCAGTGTGAGTTTCAAGTGGCCAGGTCCAGGACTCAAACCACAATTAGCCATGTGGGAGTCCAGTGACATCACCATTACGCCATCTTCTGGTCCCCAGTAAAAGTATTTTTTGAAGACTAATATTCAAAACAAAATCACAGACTCAAGATAGGCCTCTCCTGGAGGTAAAGAAAAGGTGTCCTTGATAGCAAGTCACAAATCCAGTTCTAAGCTAAGCCCAAGGAGAGAAATCAGCTGCTCATTCTGGAACTTAAGAAAGACATGGTGTTCTAATCCGTGGAAGTACGCGCTTCATAATTTCTGACTGGGAATATGGAGCAGCGAAGGAAGGGTCGCAGACATCGCCTCCGGTCTACTGACAGACCACGAGGCTCTCCAGTAGCCTTGCACGCTTCACGCTTTAAACCGCATCTCTCTCCTCTTACTTAGCAGTAGGTACAGAGTACTTCGAAATTCGGTCTTCAGGAGTCTGAGGACGGGTCAGTGCGGCGAGTGATGAAAATGTAATTTATAAATTTATAATTAACAGCGAAGCGGCAAGAAACACCGTGGCAAAGATGGAGTACAGTCCAGCAACCGAGGATGAGATCGCCCGCCCGCCCCCAGAAGGCCTCACCTGAGCACCTCCCTCTCTTCCGCCGTGTACCTCTGCCCCTGGGCGTCACTTGTGGGTGGGCTCAGAAACGGCTGAGGTCTCTCAAGGAACGGGTTCGATCCCAGTGGAAAATGTGCTCTCGTGGGCGGCGGCTTCGGCTTGACGTTGGCGGACTTGAGCTTACACAGCGGCTTTGTCAAAGGCTCGCTCAGCGCCTCTGCTCTGTAACAGAAGCGGAGAGAGCCATCCTCGCTTTTCTTTTCTTTTTTTTTTTGGAGAGGTTTTTGCTATAGGGCGCGTGCGCTCGCCAGACAGAGAGAGACATAGAGACAGAAAGCGAGAAATCACCCCCCAGGGGGGATGGTCACGCCGCAATCCCTTCTCCTCCATTCTCCTCTCAGGATCTTGGGCACACATGCACACGCGCCTGGCGTGAGTTTTAAGCCACCGGGTCCAGGATGCGAACTGTGGTCGACGACGTGGGAGTCCAGCGACATAGCCATTACACTAACTGCTGGTTCCCCCATCCTCGCTTTTCTGTTCGTGTTTTTTAAGTTTTTCAGGAAACAAAATTTACTTTGAGAACTAGTCAAGCATCCTTAACATATAAACTCGCTTATAAAACCCTTACACCCAAGTCACGGGTCTCCTACTTAAGCTGCTCTAAGAGACGTAAGGGAACAATTTCCACCAGCGACAGTACTTCGCCACCGAGTCGGATACCTGAGAACTGCAGAGCGACCACGGCCCCGAAGGCGCTCGGGCTTTGTGGGGCAGACAGACAGCTGCAACGGCAGGGGCTGGGAGGGAGCATTTCATGTGGACACATGCAGGGGGGACGTCGCCGCCTTCACGGCCGAGAGGGGAGTCGGGGGGCCACGTGGAACGGCTGGGGCGGAGGAAGCGCGCTGAGCAGAGAGGACCGTGCAGATGTGCAGGAGCTCGGGGCAGCAGAGCGAGTGGACGTGGTTTACAGAATGGGTGTGGCTTCTGTGAGAACTGCAAAGGACAGGCCGCAGAGGAGTAAGACAGGCAGCGGCTGGACCGGGAGGGCCCGGTGCCATAGCCGGGGAACTCGGCTTTGTTCTGCCAAAGGACGAACAAGCTAAAGAGCAGACGTCCTACCCTGAGTCTGTCTACGAGCTTCAGGAGTCTTGAAGTTACATGCAAAAAAAGGTCAATGGATACTCTTCTGAGTAGTGGAGCCCTACTTCTCCGCAGACCCTCCACGGGGCCCATGACCGAGGCCCGGCCACCACTGCCGGGAACGCTCTCGGCAAGACTGGGCAGGTGCCCACACGGGGAAGGCCATCCGTGAGGCGGACTGGTGACAGGAGTCAAGGTGGAAGACGCCGTGTACGGGGTCACAGCTCCACGCTTGTGGGAGACGGAGTAAAGGTGAGTGGCCAGGGTGACGAAGAGGAGGGCGAGGGCGTGCCCCAGTTAAAAAGAAAGAGAACGGGTTTGGGGCAGCACAGCCGTGTGGCCACCGCCCCCGACAGGCACGTTCATCAGCTCATGCTACGGACAGGAGTGGCACCTCCACGTTCCCTGTCTACAGCACTCTTCCGGGGCGTAACCCGGTTGTGCAAATCCGTCCGTTCTCAACCACCACAGGCACTCGCCATGCGTCAGGCACTCTGCTAGGTGCTCGGGGACAGCTCCGAAACAACGGGAAAATTCTGTCTCACAGAGGCCGGGGACTGGAGGGGCACAGCCATCAGCTAAGTGACAGGCCTGGAAAGCAGTACGAGCTACGGGAAGGAGCTCTGGAATAGAGAGTGCGGGTGACAGGGACGGTTTTACACAGCGGCTAGAGAGGGCCAGGTGGCGGAGTGCTGGCGAAGCAGCTGGACCCCGCATGGCCAACGGTGCAGTTCAAGTCTTCACCTGGCGGCTTGAAAACCACACTGGGTGTGTGTGCATGAGTGTGCAAAATCCCGAGAGGGAAGGGTCTTCGGCGTGACCATTCCCCACTGAGGGTGAGGGGTGCCTGCTCACTTCCCTCTCTCTGTCGCTCTCTGGTGAGCACACGCACCCTCTAGCAAACTGAGAGGACAACAGTGGGCCACGTGGGAAGGCTGACGTGTGAGCTCAGAGGGGACAGCGCTACACACCGCAGGACCGGGGTGCGTGTGCGGAGCGAGCGGCTCTCAGTCACCCCGAAAGGCTCTCTCCTCCCTAGAGTCTGATGTTCTGCGACAGAAAGGAGGCCTTCTGTTTTAAATTTCACAGTAATTTCTCCTCAATTCAGAGCCTAAACTAGGAACATTTCCTGGCTGGCCGTTTTTCGCTGGGTTTAAAGCAGGGAATGAGAAAGGAGGTAAATTCCCTCAGGAGGAAGGGGGACTAGCCCAGGCCTCGGATTGAAGATGGAGGGTCACTGGGACCCCCGCCGCGCACCCAGACAGACGCCACATGAGAGGAGCCATGCTTGTCAGGGTGGATGATGAGGAGCGACCGGAGCTCACCTGTCCAGGGCCTGTCGGGCCAGCTGTTTCAGCTTATTCTGCAGGGTTTTATCGGCAGTTTCATAAGACTTAAGAGAAAGAAAAAGACAGATATTCTAAAGTGTGAGTTTTTATAATTCGCTTGAGCCATGATATTTCTACCCAAAATAAATGTACCATGCGCATTACGCTTCCTGAAATTACGAGGGAACGAGCAAAGACATTTTATTTTCGTCCTTGAAAACACTAAGACAGGGTGGCAAGCTTCTCACCGAGGTGAGCCGTGAACCCACCAACTGCAGACCAGGTGCCGACTGGCCCAGCTCTCTGACCTCGGCCCCGGGAAGACAGTGGGCACTGCAGAAGGCTGGCATGCACCTGCAGCGCCAGGTCCCGGAAGCCAGGCTAGATGGTTTCTCTGGGCAAAAGCTCCACCCCTAAGTCAGTCCCCGAAAGAGGCTGGACGCAGCTCAGCTCCTGTCTAGGGTGCGGCTCCTTGCACACCGGGGCCCCTGATGCTCAGTCTCCACCCAGACGCCGCACGGAGCGGGCACACAGCACGCCAATGCGCAAGCTCTGCCGAACCACTGCCTCCACTTTCTAGGGCATGAAACTGAAGCTTGTTCTAAACTCATAGATTTGTGACAGTGAATTGTTTCTGTAGTAAATTAATTTTCGTTTTAGGGTACAAAGAGGTTAAAAATAGTACTTACAATTTAAAAAAACAATTGCTTACTGACCACACTGTCAGAACTTTAAGGAGATTTAAAGACCCTTTATTCTTCGATACTGTGTAATAAAGAGTAACTCAGCAACATTTTAAACACTGTTTTTCCTTTGAGAAGTTAGGTAAGACCCACTATGTTAGGAGAGTTTCCTAGCCTACGTGTAGCTGCGGCCGCACGTACCGTTTTCAGACACAGGTCCACCGCTTCCGTGTACAGCTCGATAGCGTCCTCGACGTTGCCCTTCTCATCCTCGTCGAAGGCCTGTGTGACGAGGAAGTGGGCACGCTCCAAGTCCAGCTGATGCTTTGATTTCAGAGGGTCTGTGCTCTTGGCCTGAACTGAGACAGGAAGGAAAGCACACACTGAAGGGGCTTTGTCAAACACGGCCGGGCATCTCGTCTCCCCACAGTCAACACACTCTGCCGCTAGTGGTTATGTCACGGGACTCTCACAGTCGCCTGTGGTTCGAGTCCTGGACCTGGCAGCTTAAAACTCACGCCCAATGTGTGTGTGCACAGGCCCAAAATCCTGAGAGGAGGAGAAGGGATTGTTGTGTGGCCAGCCACCCGGGGTGTGTGTGTGTGTGTGTGTGTGTGTGTGTGTGAGATTTCTCACTTTCTGCCTTTCTGGCAAGCATGTGCCATATAGCAAAAAACTCTAAAACAAAACAAAACGGAACTTTATAACCTTTTATTTAAAAGCTTACTAAGGTTTGTTTGTTTAAGAGAATCGGCCAGTGGTGTGGTGGTTAAGGCAGATGGATCCCGTGGGGCTCACTGCACAGTTCGAGTCCCAGACCCTGCTGCTTGAAAACCCCGCAGGCCTGTGTGCACGGTGCCAGCCCAGACATCCCGAGGGGGCCGAGGAGGACTGTGGAGAGGCCATCTCCCCTTGGAGCTGACTTCCCACTTCCTCTTTCTTTTTGTCTTTCTCTGTGCCCTACAGAAAACAAACGTAAAAAAGAACTAATTTCCCCCTTCTCTTCCTAATCCTAATTTCAAGACACTCCCATAAATCTTTTATTTAATTCATCACAATAGAAACTGCATAACTATTAAAAATATATTATTTATTTTAAAAAGGTTCCCTGAATTTCTCTCCCTACAGCACCTCTTCATTTAAAAAAACAAAATAACGAAGAGCAAATGCCAAATCTGCAGAAATGCCACTAATAAAGCAACCAACTCAAAGTGGGTCAATGATTTAAATATAAAGCCTCAAATTATGAAACGACTGGTAGAAGACTTGTGGGAAACTTGAATACGTTAGAGTAGGCAAAGATTTCTTAAACAAGACCTGCAGAGTACAGGCAATAATCCCCAAAATAGACAAATGGGATTACAGCAAGCTAAAAAAACGACAACACATCACAGGAAACAAGAATTAGAACGAAAAGATAACCCTTAGAATGGGAGAAAAATTTGCAATTATTCCTCATACAGAGATGGGAAACCAGAATATACAGGAAACCCAAGCAGCTTACCTATTAAAAGGGAAAAATCCAACTAAAGATGGATAAAGAAATTGAACACTCCCCAGGCAGACTTATAAATGGCCCAAATATGACAAAATGCTCAGAATCCCTTGTTCTAAGAGAAATGCAAATGGAAACCACAATGAGATGCCACTGAATCCCAGTTAGGAGGTCGGCGCCGGCAGCGTGGTGAGGAAAGGGGTGCACGGCTGGTGGGAATGCACTGACGCATCAGGGTCACCTCTGATGTCAGGAGAGGGCAAGTGATGGACGCTTGAAAAGCAGACTGACAGGGAGCTGGTCCTTTCTTCACCAATGATGAAGTTGAACGAATGACAGGTGACCACATCTCCGGACCTCTAGGAGTCAGGAAGTCGGACTCCACAAACACTAAGGTTCTTCTCCGTGGAGCCATCGCTTTGCACGTTACGATTTTTAAAGGGGTCATTATGGAAAGAGGAATGAGCTAAGCAGAGTGAGGCTCAAGATCCACAGATGGAAACAGGAGAGGGAAGCATGGAGAAAAGACGAGATGGGAGAGTTTGGAAGTTCTTTTCTAACCTGCTGAATGCAGAGCCTGAACTCTTTCCAGATACTCGTTTATTTTTTCTTGTATGTGCTCCAGGCTTGACCCTGCCATCTCGGCATAAATTAGGGCTTGAGCAGCTTCCTTTAAGAAAAGAAAAGGGAAGAAAACAATCTTATATACCATAATTTGAATTTTCTTTACCATTTCCTAATTCAACAGTCATGGTTTATGTGTTTTCTGTTTTCCTTATTCGGTAGATCAGAACGGAGCCTTCAGAGCACTAGGACAATAATAACCACGGAGATAGAATTAAGTGTGCGAAAACACTGTAAGAAGTTAGAGAGGTTAAGTATCTCCCAGTGAAAAGTGTTTTCTCTGCAGAAAACAGTCCAGGGGTGACAACGTTAACGCAGGTGTCAGCTGTGTGTCGTTGCCTTGCTTTAATTAAGAAAGCTGGGACTCTCCTCCACTTACTGCATCAGCCAGGTGCTTCCACTCTCGCCAGCACCCAGGAAGGGTATGGGTCTACCACGCAGAGCAGCGGCGTCTCGCCAGGTAAGGGCAGCTTTCCTGCAGCCACCCAGGCCGAGGACGCGCCTGGCGCCCCGTGCCTGTTTCCAGAAGAGCCACCTACTGAGCACTACTCTTTAAATCCAGGTTTTCAACCAGAAATCGGTTCACTGAACACGAGGGAGCAGCAGACTGCGTAGTATGTCGCTGGACTCCCAAGGAGCCGGTGCAGCTTGAGTCCTGGACTTGCCGGCTTAAAACTCACTCTGGGCGGGTGTGTGTGGGTGCCCCAAATCCTGAGGGCAGGAGGCTGAGAAGGGATGGCGGTGTGGCCATCTGGGGGCGGGGAGGGTGGTGGTGGTGAGTTCTCGCTCTCTGTCTCTGTCTCTGTCTCTGGTGACCACACGCATCCTACAGCAAAAATCTCCCTTAAAGAAAAAGTGCAGTTTTTGGCCCCAATGGAAATTTAAACTAAAAGCTGTGGGGGTAGAAGACATATTTCAAAGGAGGGAAATTATACTTTAGACATAAATACGAAATGCTGTATATACCATCCTTATCTAAATAGATTATAGTTACATTTAGCCTCAGTACACTGGACGTTTTGTAAGCTATTCTTTATAAGAATATACTACCCCTTCAATTATTCTGCACATAAATACTGATTTTCAAATAATTATCTTGCTTAAAAAATCCAATTTTTAAAATTGCTGATATCAATTTCATTTTACTTAATTCACTTATAAGTGACTAATAATTTAAGAATTGTCTATAGATCTGTTTATCCTACCAGGGTAGAAAACCTTAAAAAAACTGCTAAAGTTTATATAATTCCTAAAAGTACCACCATGTTTTTAAAAAATTATTTATTTCATTCTACTTGTTATTATTTTTTTAACTTAACCAGATAGAGACAGAGAGAGAGAAAGGGAAAGCAAGCTATCAGGTTTGAGACTAGAACCGTGGTCCACTATGTGCGAGTCCAGCGCTCTTAACCACCGCACCACCGGCCTGCCCCAGTACGGTCATATTTTTTGACTTTCCAAGGATGAAAAATTCTATCTAAGTGATATGTATGCAATCTTACAGGAAAACTACGGCATGCTGTCTTTTGCTTTTAAAAAATGCTGTTCTTGGGAACCAGCAATTAGCATAACGGCTATGTCGCTGGACTCCCACGTAGTTGACCACAGTTCGTGTCCCAGACCCGGTGGCTTAAAACTCACGCCGGGTGCGTGTGCGTGCGTGCCCAAGATCCTGAGAGGAGAATGGAGGAGAAGGGATTGTGGCGTGACCATCCCCACTGGGGGGTGATTTCTCACTTTCTGTCTCTCTGTCTCTCTCTGCCTGTCTGGTGAACGCACGCGCCCTATAGCGAAAACCTCCCCCCCAAAAATAATGCTGTTCTTGAACAGCACACTTTTAATCTGTGAATATTTGTGCAAGTTATTTCACAAAACCAAAACACAGACCTTTTCTTTGAAAAGAAATAGCACCTCCTGAAATTGTCAAACAAGTCCAAAAGGAGTGATTCTGAAATACACCAAAATCAAGTACTACTCTAAAGCCGGTCATTAGCCGAAGGCAGGAAGGTGCCCTCTGGACCACCTGCACTGTCCTGGGAGCACAGGGGCTTATAGGAAAGCCCCCCTGTACTGTGCAGTCCCTGACGTGCTTTCGTGCTTTCTAAGGGAAAAGCAAGCGAGCAGAGCAGGCACGCCCTCATCTGGGCTGGGCCGAGCTGGGGGTGTGTGCCATCGCGGCCTGCGGAAGCGCGTTCCCTAGGAAGTGGGGATGTGGCAGGCCGCCCAGGTACCTGGGCCGAGGAAGTGCCAAGCCAGGCGCAGGGCGCTAACTGCGACCCGGGCTGGGGGCAGAGCCTTAACTATGGCTCAGGCTGCAAAGCACTGACCATGCTGCGAGGCCAGCATGGGTCTCGAACACCCGGCAGTGTACGTTCCCCGCGCGCACACACGAAAGACCGCAGCCATCGCGAACCAGCTATCACAGACTTCGTGATTTGGGAAAACAGCCCAGTGACAGGTGCAGGTTGAGAGCAGTGACAAACGCGATGACCCGGTGTGCTCTGTAAGAATCACGGTGGCACACAGACACGGAAAGCACCTGAGGCACGTCGAGTACGAACGCGGTGACTACGTGTCACTACGTGTTCACGCTCCTAGGCAGACACTCGGTGCTTCGGGAGCGATCACAGCCGCCCGGTCCTCCGCCCGCAGGGATCGCGGTGCAGGGGAGCTCGGTGCAGGGGATCGCGGTGCAGGGGAGCTCGGTGCAGGGGAGCTCGGTGCAGGGGAGCTCGGTGCAGGGGAGCGCGGTGCAGGGGAGAAAAGTGTGGGGGAGCGTGGTGGGGCCTCCGGCCCGGCCCGGCCCACCTGGTAGTAGAATCGGGTCCCCGGTCCCGCCCCCGGCCCGGCCCGGCCCACCTTGTAGTAGAACACGGCCTCGGAGTAGCGGCCCTCGTGGTCGCGCTGCACCGCCAGGCGCGCGAACTGCACGGCGTCCCGCTCCAGCGCTGACGC